TAGTTGAAGTACCGATATGGATCCATACCAGTGCAACATGTCATATTATATGTATACTAATATAAAATTTTTGCCTCAAGGTGATGTTACAATTAAAGTATCTTTTGTATGTCTACTTTAATTGTAACACCAACTTGAGGCAAAAATTTTATGTTAGTATATAATACGACACGTTGCACTGGTATGGATCCATATCGGTACTTCAACTAGACATAATCCTATGTATGCCTTAGATGGTCTTATATGACCGAAAAATGTAGCAGCAATAAAGATCGAATTGAAACATATTAAAAAGCGAATATATTTGTAGTGTTGAAGGTTAACCTAACTCCTATACATATCTGGAACACACAACAGGTGCAACCAATGAAAAAGATATACACATACCACTCACTGACTTTTAGAGACTGACACAAAAGACGGGATGTATGGATTAAAAATATTCTTGGTAAATAAGATTTGGACATGTTCAGAGAACGGAAACTGTCCTAAGATCTCTTATTAATGAAACTTCGTTTGTGGCTTTCCATCAACGTTGTGCGTTATGCGTTATTATGGGGCGCATACCAGCGTCTCTCACCTATAGTCAGCGGGGTAATTTGGGTCTGCAAATATTTTGTAGGTGGTACGTGGACAATTCTACTGAATATAGTTTTTCTTTCTTGGGCTGAATCTCTCACAGATATAATTTTGAACAAATTTTCTTTTAAGCGATACCGCAAAGCAGTTGGCGACTCAGGTGAACAGACAAAGTAATGTATAGGCTACAGGATAACAAATTAGAAAATTACCAAATAAAACATTTATCGAAGTAAATATTTTTATGAGATAAATTTCTCACGACGGAGATAAAATTACCGTCTTCTGTGATGTGAGGCCGTGTGTATGGTACACAGATATTAATCCACGGTGTCACATCCAAAAGACAATAATCTTGGTTGCATATCCAAGTAATAGTAACACATTAAGTCCTCGCTATATGACTAAACACACAGACAGCGCCCTGCTTCTGAAAGTCGGTACTTATCTGACGAATGACATGGCGCCAAATTCAAGAAATCTTTAATCTTCAACTACTCTTACCAAATGTAGATAACTTGAGTAGGTATAGGCAGTAGATAAGATGATCCGCAGGGTTATGAAGGACTGCTCAGTTAATCCGCGAAATTAAAATGGTTGGAAAAAGCTGTCGTATACAAATTGGATTCTTTTGTTAATAATTCAGCAAGGAAAAGTGAAAAGCTTGTGTCTTTTTACCGCTAAGGGCATAACTCGTGTTTCATCATCCTTTTACATTAAACTACACATTCAGTTTTGACAACTGGCAGTAGCCTAGTCTTCTGCTGCCGTTGGCATATACATCACACGCCGTATCTTAGCTAACATCACGCCAAATCCATGACTACCAACTTACCAATAACTTTCTCATGAATACTCTTATACGTTACTTATATCTCTGACCTATATTCCCTGTTTCCCGTGTTCTCTTCCCGAAGCTGCGTGAAAATTTCCTCTGTTTCAAGGATTATAAAAGAATTATACCAATTGCTTTCCTTAGATGAGGAAAGTGGCATTTGCTTTCGTCTTCATCCTCGATGTAGAAACGCTCAAGCTACGGTACAAGAGTTTCTCTTGAGCACGTGTTTACTTTTGGTAGAGCCACTTCCGGTGACGTAGTTTGGCAGTGACTGCCTGCGCCTCCGAACGGCAGGGCTGAGATTGTAGCTGACTTTTGCTTGAACTAGGAGCTCCTTGAACACGTCGATAATGCGTATATTTTGCTTTGCTGAGCACTCCACGTAGCCACATTCCCAGTCGAATAGGGCAATGGTCTCTGCTATCTCCCGGGATATTGCTCGCCTCCCGTTTTCCGCGAGATCCACCTTGTTGCCAACCACAACAATGGGAACTCGAACTCCCCTTGACTCCAGAATCTAAAATGAAAAGGCTTACATTCAAATACACATCCATTGTTAAATAAATTACCTTTTCAGATTTTGAAAGCACAACTGTGAAGGTCCCATTGTTGAAGAACAGAAGAGGATGGAAAAGAAGGAGACTTAATGGTAAGAGGAAATGGTGGAAGATGAGAAGAAGAGAGAAGAAAAAGGAGTAAGTAAAACAAATTTGATTTTGTTTACCATATATTAGGGTACTGTTCAGGAAAGAATGACAAAAATGCTGACTTCTTTCTAATAACCTGTGTCTGGAAGGGATAACATGAAAGTTAATATGGTTGTGCGAACTAAAGGACTGCACTTGCTGAGATCCTGGGCAGCGAGGTGCCTAAACCGGCCGGCCAGAACGTCATCTCGCTTCCTCTGGCAGAATAAAGTATACAAGTTCTTTTAAAAGCACAAGTTGAGAGATTTAAATATGTAAATTTATACAGAACCTTGACTGAAGTTTTATGAGGCGGTTCTTGGACCCTCGTTTCAAGAATATTGACGTGGTGAGAAAAAATTGCTGAGAATACTTGGTTCTAAAAGAGCGGAGGTAACAGGAGGGGGGAGAAAAATGATTAAATCAGAAGGGATGAGATGGGCGGAAAATACTTTACTCTAAACGGATACCTGATCCCTGAGCCTGCGTACTTCTTCCCACGTGTCCGCATCATCAATGGAATACACGAGGATAAAAGCATCCGCTGTAGAGATGGAGAGCGCCCGCATGGCTGGGAACTGGAAGGCGCCTGAGGTGTCCAAGATGTCGAGGGTGAGGGAGGCGCCGTTCTGAAGTTCATATTCGCCACGGTGAAGTTCTTCCACGGTCTCCCTGTAGCGCGGCAGGAACTTGTCGTAGAGGAACTGAGATATGATAGACGACTTGCCCACTCGAGCAGCCCTGCGAACAAACATTATCAAAATGCCCCAATCCCATTACATTTAGAGCCCGCATTCTTAAAAAAAATGGTTCCTGAAGAGACCCATATAGGGCTGATCATGCTTGCCCGTTAGTCTACATCTGTGTCTGCATTTACAAATTTTTATGAAATTTGATACAAATATTACTTCACCGGTCCGGTCAAGAAAACCGAGCTTAGCGGCCGCGGGAATCCGTTGCTCTGACCACGCGACACCATCTATCCGCAGAAGTTGACACTAACTCCACCAACAAGCGGCGGTCCCTTGGTCGGTATAGTTCGCTTGTGGACTGGACTAAAGGCCACGGAGGAAATTACATCACTGGAGGTTTCCCAGAGTCATTTCTTTTAATTTCCTGAATCCGAAATAACAACACGAAAGGCGCAACAACTTCTGAGGTTGAAGTTAACACTGTGGACTGTTCTGAAATTCTGTATTTATAGCAATGAACAGCGGCAATGATAACCATAGAGAACAAATGGTAACTATGATAACGATAGTAAACAAGAAATGATATTGTAAGATTTGAGGCTTTCACGGCGGCGACTATGAAGAAAGCAGTCTTCTGGGATTTGGCACCGTGTATATGTGGTGTTAACCGACGTTTCGGAGGAACGTATCGCCTCCATCTTCAGGGTAGAAGAAAAAGTATAAGAAATCTGCAAGCGACAAGACCGTGAGAACGGTAAAAGCAGACTGCTTTTACCGTTCTCACGGTCTTGTCGCTTGCAGATTTCTTATACTTTTTCTTCTACCCTGAAGATGGAGGCGATACGTTCCTCCGAAACGTCGGTTAACACCACATATACACGGTGCCAAATCCCAGAAGACTGCTTTCTTCAAGAAATGATATTAACTACAGCAGTTTTTTCTTAGTTTCTTGGAGTGGGGTGAGACTGAGTCCACTTGGTACATCGGCCACTAATTGGACTATTGTAACAGCCCTAGATGATAGGTGATGATGAATGTGGAGCATTCGGTGGAATGAGAATTGGCAGGGGAAACCGAAGTACTTGGAGAAAACGTGCCCCATTGCCACTACCTCCACCATGAATCTCACAAGACCTGATCTGGGCTCCAATCTGGACCCCTGCGGTGTGAATCCGGTCACTACCCGCCTGAGCTCTGTCACGGCCTGGTAACTAAAGTAATCACAGTCACAAATTCCGAGTTTTTTTAAATACAGCATACATAACGTACCACATATTGGGGGGAGGGGGCTGAGAGGAGGTAAATACAGTCCAGCAGTTCTCAAACTTATGATGATCATTGCACTGTTGGGATATTCATTGCCCTTTGGAGTCGCGCTAGAATCAGAACACAGAACCAAAATTTATAATAAATGAATATCTCATATTTCTAAATAATGTAATGTTTTTTTGTATAAAACATAAAATTATCGCAAAAAATGTTATGTTACAAATATGAATTTATGCAAATGTACGTTTTGTTTTATATAATTAATCTTCTCTCGAAAGCCTAGCGGCGCATTTACAAATTGTAGGGTTGAATAATAATTAAAATCTTTTAGGGCAGTGAAATATAGGTAGTGTAACGTGGATGGCGCAGCGGGAAGTAGGGATCACGTGAACTTTGCGGCCTCCCGAGTGACGTCACATACCCCACCTCTTCCATTATTACGCAACGCTCGGTAAACACTCCGTCGCCTCCCGCGGTGACGCAACAACACTTCCCAAAGTGACGTAACAGGGGACACCGCGGTTACTACGCAGAGTTCACGTGACCCCTACTTCCCATTGCGCCATCCATGTCACAATACCTATATTTCATTGTCACAGGATATTAACAACATGGTTTTTAAAAATTTTCTGTCTTCTGGAATATAATGTTATGTAGTCTGATGAATGTCAACAGACGTTTCGTGAGATACATATCGCCTTCATATTCAGAGCTGAAAAATAAGCCAAGCAAAAAACCAGCATGTCATTCGTATATTACTGAGAGGCAGCTATATAAGAATTAAATTCAAATATGTAGCTAATATTAATAAGAATCGTCCGGAACATCCAGGAGCATTCAGAATATCAGAGTACAGAGAATGCCTGTGGAAATTATTTGTCCTGTAATGCAAGATTCACTTACAGTGTCATATCTGCGCATGTACCACTTCCAACACCTTTATGAAACAGGGTGCTAACATCACGATGCTAAGTACGACTCCATCTTTGAGCGCTCCAATCTCCTGTCGGGATCATCATCATAACGGTGGTCCGTTCTTTTGAGCTTGGAGCTATAACTGCGCCATGTTATGCAAGAACTTGCAACTCTGTATGCTAACATACCCCGTCCGTACAGGCAATCCTTCTGTAGACTCTGAAGTCCACTGTCGCATCAACAAACTCCGTGGCATATAGTCCGCAACGAACTATACCGACCGAGCGACCGCCGCTTGTCGGCGAAGTTAGTGCCAAATTTTGCGGATAGAGTGACACGTGGTCAGCGCAACGGATCCCCATGGCCGTACGAACATAGGCCTATATTTATCTTTAGCTAAATTACAGCCAACCATCTGAAATTTTGTATGGTCACAGATAATGTAAGCCTAAGGCATTTATTTCGTGAGATAACATTTATATACACGAGCATTAACAATTACAACTAAGCCGGAAGATCGCGGATTCAAGTCCCGATGAGGTCATTGGATTTCTTTCAATTGACGTAATCCTTCCAGCCGCATTATGGTCCTGGGGTTCAGTCAGTCTCTAACAGAAATTAGTACCAGGAATTAATTAAATAATTTTCCCGGGGAGTAAAGCGCGGCCGGCGCGTAAGGCTGACAACCTTACCGCCATCTTTGAGCTGATTGGCTAGATAATGTGGGACAATCAACGTCTCACAACCCTATGAGCATTCACGGCCTGGTACAGGGATAGCTTTACTTTTTGTTTTACGGCGACTATATTTGGCAATATGAGATTTAAGGTTCTGACAACGGAAATATTAAAATTATAGTGTTCCGAGATGGGACATCTTGTAGTATGGTAGGTAGTTACCAACGTTTCGTAGGAGCGAGCTGCCTCCATATTTGAAAATTGGGACTGTGTTTCTCCGAAACATTGGTACCTGTCTATGAACTTATACAGAACCGTACCGTAATACTCAGATCCCAAACACAGAAGATCCATTCACCGCCTGTCAGCTGAGAACGCTCCCTGTTCCTGCTTACCCCATGACAACAACTCGGTGCTGCTCCTTCTGCAGCTGCGAAACCCCTCCGCTTCCTTGGCTGCTGCTGTTGGAGGTTGTTGACTCGGTGCCCAGTGAGGGTAGCCTGATACGCCCGCCGGCTCCCGGCATATCGCTGCGGCCTGCCTGCAACACCCGGAACACAGCTCTGCTGCGGCACCTCGAGAAGTGATCCACAGATGCTGCCAGCGGCGACACCCTGAAGCTCCTCTGGAAGCACATAACATTTGCGACTGATATGTAAGGGCGAAAAAGCTGGAAATATCTTACATATATATATATATATATACACATGTTCGTGGCGTATTGATCAGTCAAGGTCCACCCATATTTCGTTTATTAGTAGCACGAATGGGGAACAAGAGGAATGCATATAAGATCTAAAAGTTTGTGATGATGGTAAATTGTTACAATTAATATGTTGCTGGACATTATCCATCATCTTGTCTAGCTCTGTCTATTGGACCCAACTGAGTAGGTTTTACCTGAAGATGGGGACAGATTCCAGTTCCCGAAACGTTGTGTTTTTTAATAGAAACTAGACGGTTTTTTTTAGAACAGACAAGATGATGGATAATGTCCAGCAACATATTAATTGTAAGAAGAATACATATAGGATATTGGTGGTAAATCCAGAAGGAAAGAGACCACTGGGAAGACAAAGACGTAGGTGGGTGAACAATATTAAAATAGATCTTAGAGAAATAGGACTGGGTGGTATGGATTAGATTCATCTGGCTCAGGATATGGAGCAGTGGAGGGTTCTTTTGAACACGGCATTGGACCTTCGGGCTGGGAAATTCTTGAGTGGCTACACATTTTGGTGGCTTCTCAAGGAAGGCTCAGTTCCATGAGTGAATGATACATAGAAGGAGCTAGTTTGACGCGAGTTTTCAAGCTTTCAAAGATGATGTAGTTACATTCCGGCTACACATTTTGGTGGCTTCTCAAGGAAGGCTCAGTTCCATGAGTGAATGATACATAGAAGGAGCTAGTTTGACGCGAGTTTTCAAGCTTTCAAAGATGATGTAGTTACATTCCGTATCTAATAAATGGCGTCAATCTTCAAACGGCCTAGAGGCATCACTAGACAATATACGTATATATATATACATTTACTTCTTCTATACTTATGGAAGTGAACATGTGTAGGTACTCGTATATTTGTTTGTGATGTTTGTATGCTTGCGCTTGCAAAGGACGTGGGTCTGAAGAAAACTGACATAAAAGTATGTAAGATTTGAGGCTTTCACGGCGGTGACTATGAAGAAAGCAGTCTTCTGGGATTTGGCACCGTGTATAAGTGGTGTTAACCGACGTTTCGGAGGAACGTATCGCCTCCATCTTCAGGGTAGAAGAAAAAGTATAAGAAATCTGCAAGCGACAAGACCGTGAGAACGGTAAATTTTTCTTCTACCCTGAAGATGGAGGCGATACGTTCCTCCGAAACGTCGGTTAACACCACTTATACACGGTGCCAAATCCCAGAAGACTGCTTTCTTCATTGACATAAAAGTATGTTGCGCGTATGTTACTTTCATTGCTGTTAATAGAACCTATGTCTCGACTAACTTGTTCTTTCAGGTACCGAATTTCCAAATTAACGTGCTGGCTGACCGCAAATCTGCATGTGTGGAGTTCTCTATATTTGTCAGCACGACGAAGCCTCTGGGAACATGCAGCTGCAATTAAATCCAGCACAATTCTCTTTGTGAGCGAACTACATAAGGCACAGAAGTGCACAGGCAGGGGGTCCTTTGGCAACAAGAGCGTTATACCCGCAATGCTGGAAAGAGTGCGAGCTGATGTTCTGCCGTGAAATGTACCATGGATGGTGGGGTGACGTTGCCTGGGGCTTCCCCTTTATGCTTACTGTTGTATTCCCCTCAACTTATCTTTGACCTATGCCAGCCAGCCCAAATTGCTTGTTATTTACAAAGATTATCATCACCAAAATTTGTGCTAGACGATTTTAGGGGAATATCTGGAATTGTGCTGGATGGATGAGCCCAACAGATCGAGTAAGATGTGGAAGAAGTCGATCCATGGGACTTGTTTCCGTGGTTTCAGTACAGCAGCAGATCCGGCGAAAAAATAAAGCGCTTCGGTTGACTCATATGTTGCGCAGGAGCTGCGCAAAGGCCAATTCATATCTTGTCAAACGGAGGGAAATTCATACAATAGATTCCTGAAAGTTATTTCTTGGTTTTTAAAATGTTCAAATAATTATGTTACAGGGTGAGAAGTGCGATGACCCCTTCCAGGTTAGTTATATCTTGACACTAGTATTTAATCCTTTAAAGCATAATAATTACTAAGTCTGTCCATAAACAGCGTCAATGCTAATCCCTACGCTTCATAGAATCGAGAACACATACGAAGCGCTGACGACTGCCATGACAGCGGGCTTAGGTTTGGACACAAATAAACCTCTATGGACAGCATTATGGCAAATGAATGAGAAGTGACATTACAGCACCTGAAACCTCAGTTACACTACATCGAGCCTTGCAAGTTTCTTGAAGGGCGACTGGTTTTTTACCTGCGTACTGAAAATTTAAAGTTTATTAATAAAATTTTTTGAGGAAACCATTCGTTTCTCATCTATTTCATTAAATATATTGTAAGGTGTATATCTGGGGTACGCGGTAGCGTAGTGGTTAAGGTACTATGCTACAAGCAGGTAGGTCGCGGGTTCAAATACCGATGAGGTCATTGGATTTTTTTCAATTGACCTAATCCTTCCGGCCGCACTAGGCCCTGGGGTTTACTCAGCCTCTAACAGAAATGAGTACCAGGAATTAATTAAATGATTTTCCTGGGGAGCCGATTGTCAAGGTAATGTGGGACCCTTAACGTCTCACAACCCTATGGGCCTTCACGGCCTGTTACAGGGATAGCTTTACTTTACTTTTAATATATAATATTGCTAGGTAACGACTCAGTAGACATGTTAAAAAGCACAAAAATATAAGCTGTATCTCAGTGGACTAATGTTTATTGCTCGTTGCTACGCAACAGACAGCGCAGCAATGAAGTCGCTAGATAGAAATCACGTGACTTCTTTTCTGTAAGTCGGTGCAAAAGTTTTATAGGGGACAGAGCGAAATGAAACTAGGAGTGGAGAGTCCAGGAGGGTTCAACAGTTGAGAATACAGGACAAGAACCGAGAGTGAATTGTGAATACTGAGTACAGATTAGAACAGAAGTGAACTGTAAGTTCTGTAAATCAGCAATAGCGCTCTATCGTCTGTATTTAATTTCAACTAAGAGAGATTTTAACCAAAGTCCTAATAAATCTAATCATCCGAATTAGAACCCGTAATTTTGTTACGCGTACCCTCCTACATGTGACAATATATATATATAGTTATAATCAATGCAATATGTTCTGATTATCAATAAACATAGCACGTCCTAAGGAAACACTACGGAAATGGTGTAATTTTTATTCCCAGACTGCTGGCTAGAAGTCAGTATTGTGTTCTTAAGTTCTGGCGACCCGCTATATCGACATAGACTTTCTTTTGTTTTACTGCCTTCAATTACATTCTAAGATAGTTTCCAGGTTCAAGGTCGCTGCTACATGCATCTTTCTCCATGCGAATTAATCAAAATTAAACCTCTCTGTCGAAGCCATCAAATTATCTTTCCACATTATGCAATTAACCGTTAATCGATAAATAAAAATTCCATGGTCCTTGTATCCAGCCACTGGCTATTATTCTCCTCTTTTCTTTTTGTAGTTTCTTGAGGTGGGGTGAGACTGAGTCCACTTGGTACGTTGGCCACTAACTGGCCTACTGTACCAGCCTCGGATGATGATGAATGTGGAGCAGTCGGTGGAATGAGAATTGGAAGGGAGAACCGAAGTACTCGGAGAAAACCTGTCCCAGTGCAACTTTGTCCACCATAAATCCCTCATGTCATGATGTGGACTCGAACCCGGGACGCCGCGGTGGTAATCCGGCGACTAACCACCTGAGCTACGGCACGGCCACCGTCCTATCTTCATTTCCATACTATATTTACCGAAGGACGGGTGATTGAATCCTGGGAGATGTCCTTTTTCCCCACCGAAATAAATTGTCCCACTTCTCCCATGGATTTCCCTTTTCACCTGTTCTTTTACTATTATTTCGTATCTCTCCTCTCTCTTTCTCTTTCTCTCTCCATACGCTTCGAAGAGTTCATTTAACATTTTCAATACGCGTTTTAATGGAATGGCAAGCGGTATAGGTGCTTCTAGAGCAAGGCCACTAATTTGCAGTTAAGGTTCGTCAGTTTGTAATAATAAGCGAGCCTGGAAAATGCAGTTACACAGTTCGTTTGATTACTAGCAGTTTCAGCGCGAGCTAATTAACCACGGTGATATAGCGAACTGCTATCCTCATCACTGTGCATGAGAGAGCATATGAATCTGTCTCGGTTTCAATTGTTTGAAATACATTCATCCTATCTGTTGCATATAAAGTTGCGGTCATCGCGTTATACGTAATATCGATGGGTGATTCTCGCACAAATCAAATACGAAGTTTAGAGAGAATTTTCCATCTATCAAAGATTTTCTTTAAACTTTAATTTTAAAATATATATGTAAATAAATAAAGTAAAGTAAGCAAAGGTATCCCTGTAACAGGCTGTGGGGGCCCATAAGGTTGTGAGACTTTGAGACTCCCACAGACAATCAGCTCATAGATGGCGGTAAGGTTATCAGCCATACGCCCCGGCCGCCCTTTACCCCCAAATACATTCCAAGAATATTCCTGGTACTCATTTGTGTTAGAGGCTGAGTCGACCCCAGAGCCATAGTGCGGCTGGAAGTATTAGGTCAATTGAAAAAATCCAATGACCTCATCGGGACTTGAACCCGCGTCCTTCCGACTTGTAGCATAGTGCCTCAACCAACTACTCTACCGCGTGCCCCCAAAATATGTAATGTAAATAATACCTAAAATTCAGTTTATAATTTACAAAAAGCACTATGTTTCTCCATCATAAACTCAAATCTGTCATTGCTGTTTAGGGAAATAATCGCTCCTTGTTATGAGAATCTTAAGGAACACATAAATATATTGTCATGGGGTTTGGATTGGTAACTGGTTTTGTTGAACTCTTACAGATCCGTGACTGGAAGTAATTACAATCGTTTCACTAATTCACACACTTTGCAGTTCACCAGAGCACACACTTAAGTCTTCTCAGTCTGC